AAGGGGAAGTCTTGTTTAAATAGATCTTCTGACATTTTTGGAGAATGTTACTGCAAGTGTTGATGAAGGAAACGCTGTGGATTTGGTTGACCTTGATTTCAGAAAGCATTTGATAAGGTGCTTCACAAAAGAGTTGTTACAAAAATGAAATCTGTGGGTGAGGGGGAAATGTTATCAAATTGAATAGAAAATTGGCTGGAGAGTAGAAAGCAGAGAGTTGTAATAAATGGAGTTAGATCTGACTGGATCACAGTTACAAGTGGTTTGCCTAAGGGATCTGTGCTGGGTCCTCTGGTGTTTGTGATTTATATATTGGCTTTGGAATGACCAATAAAATGTTGAAGTTTGCAGATGTCACTAAGATTTTTAGGGTGCCTAACTGTGTCAAAGATGATGCAGACGTACATGGACACTTAGATCATTTGATACATTGGGCCAATATGTGGCAAATGATGTTTAAGTATCCAAAATGTAAGGTGATGCATGTAGGTTTTCACAATTCAAATTATTGTTACAATTTAAATGGAAATACATTAAATACTGTAGTTGAAGAAAAAGATCTTGGTGTTGTGATTGAAAAATCACTTAAGTCATCTAAACAGTGTATTGTAGCTAGCAATAGGGCTGATAGGATTTTGGGTAGCATCTATAGAAATATTGAATAAAAGACAACGAATATTATTGTTTCACTGTGTAGATCACTTGTAAGGCCTCATTTAGAGTACTGTGTACAGTTTTGGGCTCCCTTCCTCAAGAAGGACATTGAATTGTTAGAGAAGAGAAGAGCCACTAGGATGATACCTGGGATGGTGAGAATGTCCTATGAGGAGAGATTAAAAATCTCTAAATTTGTTTTCTATGGAGAGAAGAAGGGTCAGAGGGGATTTGATTGAGGTGTTTAAGATTATTAAAAGTATTGATAATATAGATCCATCAAACTTTTTTGTGTTTAGCAGTGAAAACAATAGGACAAGGGGTCATAAATTCAAGTTTTGGCAGTGTAGGAGTAGTCTGCAGTTTAGGCAGTATTACTTTTCAAACAGGGTGGTTGACTTTTGAAATGAGCTGCCTTCAAGGGTGGTGGAGGCAGAAAATTTAACTGAGTTCAATAAATGATTGTATGAATACATGAGTAGTAAGGGGTGGTTATAGTTGGGAGCTGGAAGGGACATTCTTGATGGGCTAATAAGCTCCTTTTTGCCACTTTAAAATTTTATGAATAATAAACAGTGATTTTTAGATATTCATTCTGAACAGTCTGTAGTGATCTAAATTTACTTGTGAATTGTAAAGAAAGAAAGTTTATGACACTTAAATGTTATTAACAATGCAGTGACAATGAATTGAACATTGTGTGATATTGGCAGTTCTCATTCCTTGTATTGGTATGCAGTAACGAACAACTGTTATATAATTTTTTTTGAAATTTTGAATGATGTGGTTTATGATTTTTTTTATTGGTTTAGACAAAATCTTTTACATTGTTCTAGTGGAAAAATGTGACAGTGTTAGACTATGTAAGCAAGCTCATAATAGCATTCAGTGTTGTACTTAAAAATTGTTATAGAGGTAATAAATAAGCTCTTTCTGTTTAATTTTTCACAATGTGAGTGAATCTGTATATAAAGCTACAAATGTCATATCATTAAAAAGACCTTTGTCTGAGGAGTCTGGATTGTATATTGGCTTTTCCATTCAGAATCACTTTACCTGTTTTTTGCTTAGTCAAACTTTTTAATGCAACGAGTATGGTACATGATGGCACAATGTTGTTCTCATCACGTCATGAGTGGCTTTGATTTCAATTTTAGTTTTTATATTTGCAAAGTATTTCACACAAACAACACTCAATCTGTATGTAATTTCCTAAAAAAAATGAACATTAATACAATTTATATGGACTTTCTCAACTTAGTTAAGTCTAATATGCATGTGCAATTTTTTCAAAATCATCTGCTTATCACTTTGTGAACACGCATTCATATGTTTTTGCTTATTCAGCTAAGTTTGCCTTCATTACAACTTTACAATTAATTTACAATAATTTAGCTTTGGTTCATTTCAGAGACTGCTATATACACCTTTTAGCTACATTTTCTTTACTGCTGATTTTATTCTTCATTTTAGTGAGCTTCTTCATTTCAACTTGTAAAACAGCTCATAACTAATTCATACTCTATACACTATTATAAATACCATTACTTTACTTTACATATAGTTTAATATAGACCAGGATTTATTGATCTATCAATGCCTACAAAAAAGTGTAGCTTAAATAGCTTGTGTGAAAATGATAGAATAAGGAAAATTGAAGCTAAGGGCATGAAAACTACTGCAAATGTTTTGCAGGTCGTGGCTAGTAAAATCAAATAGGCTTAGCTCTGTCTTATAAAGTACAGCTGAGTTAGGAATTTTAATTGTATGACAGCAGTTTCCTACTTTTGATTAGAAGGGAAAAAATTTCTAATTAATTGAAGTTTAAGATTTAGAAACTATTGTATGAATCTTGGTGAAATATTTGGTATATTATTATTTCTCAGCTCATGAGTTATAGAACTGTGCAGAAATCCAATAATGCCATGCTATTCAGCAGGACATTTACAGCATTAATTCTTATACTTACTGAAGTCACACACAAGTTTTTATTACCTTATGTGTCTAGATTTAAATTGTAAATATTATTTAATTCATTAATATACGCTGTTTTATAAGAGATTGAATAGAAAGTTTAAGATTTATCATCTTACATCTTTTTATAGATGATTTAGAGTGTGAGAGTTGTGCCAATCCTCAAACTCGCCCTGCTGGTCTAGAGTTCAACTACTATCTGAAGTATTTCTTGCAGGATTTGCCTAATGAATTTTGTCCAAAAGCGTAAGTGTTGATTCACAATTAACTTATACTAGCAGAAATACTGCCCTATGGGTGTTTGTGCTAGTAATTGCTAATTATAGTATTCATATCTCATTGAAAAAAATTTAGAAAAAGAGAACATTTTCTAAAAAAGGGTTTTTTTCAGTGAAGTACTGCACTGGAAAAGTTTTTGGATTGTTCTCTTTATGATGTACAGAGCTCAAAATTTTCATAAATATTACTGATATAAACTGTAATCATTTTGTATATTAAAAGTGGTACCATTTATTGAAAAAAATTTTTTTAAGAACTCATTTTCTCATAACACACATTTAAAAATTACATCAATAAAGATATAATCAAACCCTCACATACAGTCCTAGTGAAAGTCATGTTTTTGTTGTGAGGAGAGTGCTTTTATTTAAAATCATGTTCTATTAAAAAGAAATGGCTGTTGCTCATACCACAGTTATTTTTCTTATTGTCTGCATCTTGAATACCCAAAGTGTGAAAATTTTTATGCGTTTTTGTTTGTGTTGCCATTCAGTAGATGGTGCAGGAGTTTTGGTTACGTACATAGATACTGACATACATGCTACCTCCATTATAGTAAGATATTGTTATATAATGTCACTGATATTCATTACTAAAAGTTAAAAAAGAATATGCATAGCTAATAAGCTTTCTTTGCAAGATAAGACTTAAAGAAGAAACAACTCACTCAAATTATTTAATGACCACTTGAAAGTAACATTTCATCTAGTGGTTGCTAACATATAAATGTATAACAAAAAAATTTTGTTGATAGTATTTAAATAATTATTCCTATAGTGAGAACATGGTGATGTGGTTACTAAAGGGAATTGTAGCTAGTTTCTAAATGTTTTGTCAAACAGATGATTGCAAGTACAAATTTGTGAAAAGAAAATTATCGGGGTATAAAACCCTACAAACTGTTTGGGTAATTATTTCCAGAAAAAAAAGGACTAGCTATATTTAATTTAGCTTAAATATTAGGTC